GGCGAGTCGCAAGTCTCCCACAGGCGTGTTGTCGTCTTGGCTGCGACCAGCTTGACGAGATCGCCCACTACATATTGCCCACGTCTGTGGGCCGCGGCTGCCCTCCAGGCATCGTCCCTCCCGCCTGCGTGCCCCTGGGCCCGCCTGGGGGTGAGGGCCGAGTCCGACTACGATGCGCTGGGAGGCAGACGACAGCGAGCTCGCGAGACGCTCGTGATGGCTTTCACAATCTACCACACATTGAGGCCAATGCTGCTGCCGCAGGCCTCTGCGACCGACGCCCAGCTCAGGCACGCGCGCTCGGCCGCGCGAGCAGCTCTCTCACTATAGATGCACGAACCAGTCCCTTGAGGCACGCGCGGCCCCCCTCTCCGTAGCCATTTTGGCTCAAGTACGAAATCGTGGCCCTGCGGCTTCGTACTTGCCTGCGGCCAAGGGGCTGGCTCGAGGCGAGCTGCCCCGCGGCGGGCTCTCTTTCTCTCGCGATCGCCGCATGCGTCTGCGGCAACCCACAGCGAGGCTGCACGCGCCGTTCTTCTGGCACCGTCACCACATGCACGTCTCTTTTCTGGCGCCCGCGTCACATGCCAAGCGATGAGGCCTCTGATCCTTCCAGGGGCAGCAGGGGGGTCTCCGCTCGGGACCGCCGCGCGCGCCGCCGCCGCCGCAAAGAAGGTGCGCACCGCCGTCGTCGCCAAGATCGGGACTATTCATCATCACGTTCCTGCAGCGGGAGCTCTCGGCATGGCGGCCGCATCCCCATTTGCAGCTCACCGCCGCGGTGATCACCGCGGCCCTGGCGCTGCGGAGGCACATCCGCTTCTCACGCCAGCCATGGCTCGTGACATCGAGCGCGCGGCGACCTTCACCGACGGCGAGCTGGGCGAACGTCACCCAGCTGACCCACTCCAAGGCTGTGCTGACCCTTGGCGTGCTGCTGCGAGCACCGCTGCGGGCCCTGCAGCTGCTGCTCCTGGCGTTGGTGTGGCGTCGTTTGGTGATTCCATCGGGGCCGCTGTCACTGCCGCCTTCGCGCAGCCGATGGTTGGGGCCCGCGCTGAGGTCAACTCGATCATGGGCCAGGCGCGCAACCACATGCGCGACGCGGTGGTGGGCCTCCTTCGGCCGCAGGCTGCTCGGCTGGCACTCTCGACTCTGAGATTCGCCAGCTGCCGGAGCGCGCTGCTGCTATGGAGGCTCCGCAGGGCGCTTTGCGCTCCGACATGGGTGCGGCGCAGCGCTCGCTGGCCCAAGCTCGAGATGCCGAGGACGGGGTTGTGGACCTCGCGCGGCTCGCCACGCGTGACGGACCCCCCGGCCCCGGCATCTTCAGGATCGGTTGTGCCCAGCCGACGGCCGACACGGAGATCAAGAACGGCGTTGCGCAGTGGATCCAGGACGCTGGTTTGCCGGCAGATGGCAGCTTGCGGGAGGGCCTTTTGGGTGCATGGTTTTGGGGGGGACTTGATCAGAAAGCTCCGAAAAGGTGTTTCCAGCGAGGGAGCGTCCGAATTGTTGTAGAAAAAGCGCGGTGGCATGTGGATATCTTCGTTTTGTGAAAATTGTCGTGGAATCCGTGGGGAAGCATATGGATGTATTAACTGTTTGTGAAAATTGTGGGGGGATCCGCGCGGGCATCGTTTGATGCATTTGATGTTTTGATTTTTGTGCAGAGGTGGCGGGGGGGGCGCTTCGTGCGACAAAAAAAGAAAAACAGTCCATGACGTGCAGGTGGGTGGCCAGTTTTTTGCAGGATGATGGATTGAAGCTCCATTTTCGTACCAGATGTTTTCAACGTGTTGTCCCTGTCCGGGCAAGAGTATTGGGTGTGTTTCGTGTTTGCGTTTTTTTCATTTCCAATTTCGCGCCCGTTGTGGAGTGCCCCTATTTTTGTATCGTTTTGAATTGCGCTCCATAGTTCGTGTGTGTATTGGGCCGTCTTGTGACCGTCTTGAGTCTTGGGCGTCTGGGGCAATCGACTTAATGCCCCATTGAGCCGTCTTGGTGACCTTGTGGGGCCCTCTTGGCCTATTGGCCCATCTGAGCGCGAATCAGCGATACGTTTCGGGACGTTGCGGCCTCGGGAGGGGGGCCGACGCGCGCGAGAGAGCGCTTCCCAACGGGAAGGGGGCCCCTTAGAAGACTTACGTGCAGAAACCCTGCCAGACAGCACTTGGTATTTTTACAAGCCCCAACGGGGCAGGCAGGGAGGGCACGGTGGGGGATGTTGATCACTATCATGTGTTTCGTCTCACCTTCTTTGCAACTTCTAGGAAATCGCCGTGATGGCCCAAGGTTTCAGAGACGCGTCGCGTGGTCCGCTTTTTCGGACAGCCGCGAGCGAATGCTGCTGTACATTGGCAGCCTTCCTCCTCTGAGGTTCCGGGTATCCCAGGGCCCTATCCCCGAACAAATTCGCGTTCTATACCACCCAGGGGGGGGCCAGCCCTGGGGCCCCAGAGTCCGAAAGATCGGCGAAATCAAAAGTAAAGAACATACTTGGTAACATGTTTCCGATTGTTTGAACACAGAATCTGCCTGGGGTTAGGGCCCTGGGTCAGAGACGCCGCGGCCATGCGGCGCCGCCGCCGCCAGCGCCGCCAGCGCCCAGCAGCGCCACCGGCCCACGCTGCCTCTGGAGGGATGGCTGCGAGAGAGGCTGGAATCAGTGCCGGGCGGGGGGGACATCTTAGCTGCGGGAGCCGGGTTCTCGGCTGGGAGCGGCGGCCAACCACGCTGTTCCAGAGGATCTGTTTTTCGAGCTGATCGGGCAGTCGAGCCACCTTCAGAGGTAAAATTGTTGGGGGTCCTCAAAGCAGAGCCTGGGGATCTCCATGATGTTTTCCACAATTTCGACAACGAAGAGCAGCTACTCTGGGAATTTTTCGGCCGCCCGAATGCCAGCTTCAGCCTGCGTGTCATGAAGGCTGCTCGTCTCCAGCGGCAGGTGATTGTAAATTACGACCGCAAGAACAAGCCTCTGAGCACGCGGTCAAAGGGGGGGGGGGCTAGGACAGGCACGGCACGGGGGGGGGTCAAGGCTACGAAGCGGCGGGGCGGCCCTTCTTAGTTTTTTTTGTTTTTGTGTGTTTTGTTTTTTGTTGTTTTGCTGTTTTTTGCGTTTTGTCAACTGCCGGCGCGAAGTTGACGCGCGCCCCTCACTAGCATTGGCAATCCATCGGCCGAGAGCCACTGGAACACTTATCAAACGAGTCCAAGGGACCTCCGGGCCCCGTCCCCCGCCTGGACCGCCCCCGCCGAGTAGAAATCTAGTTCCACGAGGTCCCTGCTCCATCTCCCTGGGAGCGACGTGTACGAGCTCCCTTCTGCCGGGGGGAAGTCCGAGGCTTAGTCGATTCGCGGTCCTGCGGTCCTCCTGCCCCCCCCTCCCTCTCCTCCCCCTCCTCGCCTTTCTCGCTCTCCTCCTCCTCCTCGTCCTCTCGCCCCTCCTTGTCCTCCCCCTCGCCCCCCCCGCCCCTCCCCCCCCTTTCCGTGGCCCCCCTCTCCCGCCCGGAGGCGCGAGAGGGCGAGGTGGGAAAGGTGATGGAAGAGGAGGTGGGAAGGTGGGGGGAGTTTGGAGGGGGATGAAACGGGAGAGGAGAAGGGGAATGGGGGGGGCAGGAGGCGGACCGCTCAGGCGTCTCGCTCAATTAGCTGCTGAGTGGCACGTGCCGCTCGTTTCCGACGTGCCAATGGCGCCTTTGGGTTAAACCCCCCCGTTGGCTTCCACCCCTGAGGGGGCCTCTGGGCGCCCCCCCCGGCGTTTCCCTGCCCCTCCTCGTCAGAGGTGCTCGTGCCCTGGGCGATAGGTCACTTGATTGTCTACCAACAGTGGCGCTGCATTATCTTGCGATCCCATGATCGCCTCGGACTTGGTTGCCCAAAGAAGGACGTTTGAGACAGCCGCGCGTCGCGTCATTGTTGGTTGCCCCCCCCCTTCACTGTCCCGAAGGCCCCGCCTCGTTTTCGCAACGCGGCCCCCCGTATCCTTCCATCCCGCCCAGGTCCCGGGCCCTGGCCCCCGGCCTCGGCTTGGCCCCGAAACGAAACAACAGTGTCCGCCGCGGCCGCGCGACTGTCTCACGCATCCCGAGGAAAGGGCCAATTATTTCCGAAGGTTGCCCCGATGGTTTCGAGAATTGCAGAGCTCTGCCGCTGACGTCGCCACCCAGGCTACAGAGGGCATGCGAAATATTACCAGATGTAGGTAGGAGGTAGGATGAGATGAGGAGGAGAGGAGAGGAGAGGCAGAGAGGCAGGGGTGAGGGAGGAGAGGGAGGCACATTCCCAAACATGTTTGTGCACTCGGCAAGGGTCGCTCCAGATTGCCGCCTCCCGAATTCAAGCCTGACGACCTCGCCACGGTGGTGGGGAACATGTCTGGGCTATTGCGGCAATTGTCGAGCAGAGTCCCGTTCGGCTTACAGAACATTTTGCGCAGATCTTTGTACTCGTCTGATGCATTCCTTTCGAGGCCCAGGGGCATTGGAGGCGGGGTGCTGCGAGCTCACTCCGCCATCAAACTCATCAACACTCTTCGATCTGTTGACCGCCTTCGGACTCGAGACGATTTTGTGGGGACGGTCACCGATGAAAAAAGCTACATAGACATAAAAGTTGGGAGGTCCGCGCGGATGTCTGAGTCGGCGCTGGGCCCCACCCCGGCGGCGCCGCTGGGCCTCCAGCGCCGCCCCTGGCCGCGCTGGGGGCCCAGCGCCGACTCGGGCACCCGCCCGGACTTCCCAACGTTTATGTGTGCGCATGTTTTTATTGTTCCAGGTTCGCCGAATCATCCGAGCAGCTTTCCCAGAGGAGCTTATGAGTTTCGTGGAGAGATCTCTGGAGCAATACACGCCCCCTTCGTCATCGAGCATTAGCAGGTCCCAATTCTCGACGCTTCGCGCGTCCCCGCCAGCCCATCCAGATACGATCGCCAGGTGAGTGGGTGACTTTCGGGGTCTAATGTTGCGAGAGGTTCCAGGCGCATATTGGGGTCATCTTGGGGCTCTCTTGGGGTACTCCGCTTCTTGGGGTTATCTGGGGGGGGGGGTCTTGGGGCCCTCTTGGGGCTCTCTGGGTGGGTCTGGAAGGCCTCTTGGGGCCGTCGTGGTATCCATCGCTTAAAAAATGAGGGGCGACGGAATTCGCCCCCCCCCCACCCCCCCCTTTCGGAAGCCCCAACGCGCCGTCTTGGGGCCGTCTCGGGGCCGTTCTGGGAGCGCAATTGGGCGGGATTGGGGCCCTCTGGGGCCCCTCTTGGGGCCATATTGGGCCATATTGGGGTCATCTTGAGGCCTCGAGAGCTCATCGGAGGCGAACGTGGAAGAAGGCAAACAAACATTGATTTTCCTATGTTTGATTTTGGCCTCTTGGGGGGTAGTTGGAGAGCTCGGAAGGCACTTGAAGCCGCGTTGGGTCCATATTGAGGCCTCTTGGGTGTATGTCGGGCGCTTTCTTGAGCCATCTTGGGATATCTCGGGCCATCTTGGAACCCATCTTGGGCTCTCTGAGGCCCTCTTGGAGCCATCTTGAGCCCCAAAGGGCGCTCTAACTACCCGGGCCCCCTCCCGTCCATGTCCAGGGGGGGGGGCGGGGGAAGGGGCTTGCCCCTCCCCCGAGCAGGGGAAGGAGGTCTTGGTAGAGAGAGGATAAAGTTCGTCAAACCACTTGCGCCCAGAGGGCTGGTAGGATTTCTACTCGACGTCGCGATCACGCGCGTGCACTCAAAACTGCATCCTGTCGCCGACATGTTCGCGTGGGCTTGGGCGGACGCCTCCCCGCAACATCGCGTGGGTGAGGCGTTCCTCACGGAGTTCATGATGATCCCGAAACGTTCTCTTCTGGCGTGTTTTGAGATTGTAAATCAGCTGGCGAACGCACGCATCGATTTCAGTGCAGAATATTTCGTGGCGTCCCTCCAGGCCCGGAACACGTTGACTCGCCAACTCGTTGACCTTATTGTTCGCCAGATAAATTACCTTCAGTTTCTCGGTTCTGGTGCAAGCAGTCTCGAACATAAAGTCAAATCGATAACTTTCTTATTATGGATGATGTGTTCAGAACCTCGTGCATCATCGGTAGTGACCGCGTGCCAAAATCTAATGAGCTTCACGACGGATATGGGGACAGAGTTGGGTATGTCGGAATTCGCGTGTGCAAAAATTGTCGATGTTCTCCCACCCTGGTTACTAGATATACCTACGCCTGGCTCTAACCTTCGACTAGACTATGGGTTTGAGGACTGGGCAATGAATGGGCCCGACGTTGAGGATGGGGCCCCAGGTCTTGCAGGTGACTCTGAACGCATATTTGGGGTCCTCTCTTACCGTTGCAGGCACTATGCATATCGTTCATAATATGTCTTGGTTCACAGATTCTCGTTTGCCTGAGTTCGCCC